TACTCACCTGTGCACACACACTGTACTTCCCCTGTACTCATCTGAGCACACACACTGTACTTCCCCTGTACTCATCTGAGCACACACACTGAAGTTACCCTATACTCACCTGAGCACACACACTGTACTTCCCCTGTACTCACCTGTGCACACACACTGTACTTCCCCTGTACTCACCTGTGCACACACTATACTTCACCTGTACTCATCTGTGCACACACACACATGAACTGTGTTTTCTCTGTACTCATTTGTGCACACACACTGTATTTCCCCTGTACTCATCTGTGCGTACACTGTACTTCACCTTTACTCATTTGGGCACATGTATATACACCCCCCTACACACACACTGTTTTCCCTATACTCTTCTGTAAACACACATTATACTTCCTCTTCCTCTGTTCTCATCTGTATGTACAAACACAGACACACAACCCACGTGTAGAATAGAGTCTCTTTCACTGCACAACAATGGCTTTGTCAAGGCCCTAACATTCTTAGCAACTTTCCTTCTATGAAACCAAAGACGGCCCTGGGGCAGCCATCTACAGGAGGATTCTGCAATCTTGGCATATGGTTTAAGGTTAGGGACCAAATCTCTCTATTGTGATGGAAGAAGTTAGCAAAATATCATCTAGACACATTGTCTCCTAGGCTTTGTCTCAGCCTGGCCACTAATGCCTAACACAGCGAATGAAATGTGGATAATGCAGCCTTTTATGTTTTGCTTACCTTTTTCGGTACAGATTCTGTGAACAACTTCATTTTTTATGGTTTTTAAAGAATCAAAGTTCTGCCCAAAGTGAATTCTTTCTTCTTTCCCAGCAATTTGTTGCAGTTCTGTTTTCTCAGCCTGCCCAATGCCAACTGCATGAATTGTGATTTGCTCAGTCCTTAGCCTCTCGGCAGGGTCCAGGACTCCATCCATGGACTTCCCATCAGTCAGCACAATGAGGTAACAGGGAACATCTCTTGTCCTATCTTTCCTTCCATCTTGTATTAGTGGCAGTGTGAAATCCAGAGCTTTCCCAGTATAAGTTCCACCTGTTACTTGCTTGATGTTGGAAACAGCCTTCCTTAAGTCAATGTCATTAGGATAGTCAGTGATATTAAATTCTACTTTACTCTCATCTGAATACTGCATAACTCCAACTCGGACTTTGTCTGGGCCAATGCTAAACATTTCTATTGTTGCCAACATAAATTTCTTGATTTGCTCAAAGTCTTCTTTCCGGATGCTGGTTGAACCATCAATGAGGAAATAAATATCAGCCTCCTTTGTATCCACACAGCCTGGAAAAAAGAAAAAAAGAAAGTGTTTTCTTTATTAATTATGGAGAATCTGAGAGAACTTTGAAAGAGGGTTTATGGAGGAACATGAGGCTATTGGGGCTTCTGAAGAAAGAGGACTCTGTATTTGCATAGACCTTGCTCACTTTGTCAAAGATCATGCCTGTTTTCTTTGAAATTTACAACCAAATACTATGCAGCCATAAAAAAAAAAAAAAAAGGAGACTTTACATCTTTTATGTTTACCTGGAGGGAGCTAGAACATATTCTTCTTAGTAAAGTATCTCAAGAATGGGAAAAAAAGCATTCAATGTATTCAATACTTCTATGAAATCAGTATGTAATCACCTGTACACATTCATAGGGATGGTAAAACATAACTATAGTCCTGAAAGAAGGAGAGGAGAGTGGAGAAGGAAGGCAAGGAGGGTATTTGGGGGGACCTAACCTAATGTGCATAATGCAATGATACATTTCTAAACCATTAAGAATAGAGTATGAATGTCTTACTACATACAACAAATAAGTAAGCAAGGAGATGGTTATGTTAATCAGATATAAGCACCCCACATTGTATATCAAATTAGCACATTGTACCTCATAAATGCACTAATGTACACAGTTATGATTTAATAAAAAATTAAAATAAAATTAATAATTTATAATAAAAAGGAAATTGAAACAGAACAAAGTGTAGTGGTTTGTCCAAAATTATATAGCCAGTATATTAAAGAGTAAGGACCAGATTCCTAAGCCCCCAAGCTCTATGTTAAATAGTTTTTCTAGTATTGACATCTACCTCAAACAGTTTATGCATCATAATTTCTTCAGAAAAGGTTTGGGATTGTTGACTTTCCATTATTACCTCCCCAGTAACCTCTTCTTCCCAGAGCAACTAGAACAACATACTTAAAACTATAATCATGTCATACCACTCTTCTACTTAAATGATCTATCATTGCATCTGCAATTTAAAAATCAGAAATTGGCCTTATCTTGCTTCCTGCTTTTCTCTCTGGTTCTGTTTCCAGCAATTCTTTCTCACTCACTGTGCTCAGACCACATTGGGCTTATTTCTGTTCCTTGAATGAACCCAGGGCCTTTTTGCTTGCCTGTTTCTCCTAGAATATTCTCCTTCTCCCCTCAATATTCACATGGCTGGTTCCTTCTCATTATGGATGTGTCAAGTCAGTTCTTGAAAAACTCCTTCTCTTACTCTCTAGCTAAAGCACATTAGTCATTAGCTACCCTATTACTTTATTTATTTCCTTAATGGAATTTTCTGAAATTACCATATTCATTTGTTCATGAGCCCAACCTGTTTCTTATCACAAAATGCTAACTCCATGAGGACAAAGACTTTGCCTAGTTCTCTGCTTCTGCCCAGTATGCTGGTTCATCATAGGAATCCAAAAAAAATTTCTTTTGGATAAAAGACCTTTTAATTTTCCTTCCTTTGTTAAGCTGAATATATATATATGCATTTTAGATGTCTCTTTACTACCCCATGTAATTGTTCATCAAAACTGGGTAGGAAAAAGAGCATATTTTTAAAATTTAGGTTATTGATGCTGCTATCTGATTAAGTACATGAACTGATCCTTAAGATACAAGAAAATTTAGTCATTTTATAATTATTTTCTTTCTTGACAGCTTCTGAGTAATTTATAGCTGCTGATACTGTTTCAGGCTATGGCAAGTTGCTTCTTAGGAAATCAGAAATGCTAGAAATAAGCATGACACTGAGAATTAAACTATGAAATCAATATATAAAGTATTAGGGCAAAGATAAGCAGTTATCTGCAAAACACAAAGTTGACCCAGGCTAGCAAAATTTGAAAGTAACCATAATAAATTGATTTATATATACGCTAAAGAAGAATTAATTATTCATCAGAAGAAAGGAGTGGTGGTCAGCCATGGAGAGAAAAATGTGAATCAAGGTAGGTAACTTGGCAATGCCCATTTGTCCCTTCCTAGGGCACCAGCACTAGCCATATGCTGCTATTAAAATGTAAATCTAAACTACTTCATATTAAAGAAAAATTAAAAGTTATCCCCACAATTGTACTAGCTACATTTCAATTGCTCAACACCTTCATGTAGCTCGTGGCTGCCATATTGGACAACATAGTTTTAGAGCATATCTACCATTATAAATTTTTGATTGGACAGCATCAAAGAATGTGTCTTTTGGCTCAAGGACTCCCATGTGCAGTTTTATATATAAAGAAATATAAAGAAATATTTTTGATGTTTAAATGGAAACATCTGCCCAGTAGGATGCTACTAGATATTTCAATTATAAAACTAACTCTTTTGTTCTAATTCCACAACCCCTAATACTCTGTCCATTACAATTTAGCTTCTAACTTCTCATGTTTTTAGGGAGAGACTTTAGGACCCAGAGCACATAAATGCCCTGGTTCCTGGACATTGACAGTTCTCACAGTCATAGAGACAATTGGGATTCTCTTTCTATACATCAGTCTCTTGAGTTTGGTTAATGTAAATTTCCCCTTGATTTAATAAAGCTCTATTTAATAGAAGTTAAACACTTGCTTTGTGCCAGAGCACACACTTCCTATGTGCTATAGGGACGTGTTGTATAACCTTGTCACCTATGAGGAAGATTGTTTGACATGCACCATGATGATGTTTTTCACTGTGAAAACAAAAGTAACAAAGAAAAAGAGGAGAGGGTAGAACAAGTCTTAGAGGACATATCCCAGATGCTGTCTGGAATTGCTGGCTTTTCTGTAAATGAAACTGAAACTGTTGATCTCTCTCAAAAAAAAAAAAAAAAAAAGAGAGAGAGAGTGCATTTACACTGTCTCTAGAATGACACAAATGGAATTGAGCCAACATTACCCTCCACAGGATTTTTCTTGCCATACTTCCCTTTCTGCTTTCACTTTCTACCAATCTTCATTTTTACCCTGAGTATACTTCCAATATATTAATATCATGTGAGTCCTTTGTGGCATCCACTTTTGAGGAACCCAACCTAAGTCAGGTACCAACATTTGAGAGCAATTGAATTAATAAGAAGCACCTACTGAGGTCTTTTCTTCCTAGTGGGAAGATAACCATCCCACTTAGATGGCTTTTGCCCTCACCTTGGTCTCATATCTTCACGTTTAATAGCATTTCCGTAATAACAATAATAGCTTTTATCACAGCCTTGCAAACTCCCTGAGAGAGACCATACTACACATCCCTCCTATGCCTCAAGTGTCTGCCATTCTGAGGGATCCTTCTACATGTCACTTAGGAGGTAAAAGGAGACTTATTTCTTGCAGCTGCCTTGTCATATAAACATGCCAGAAAATCAAGGGCTGGCCCAGGTTGTATCCTTAAAACTGCCTTCAAATGACCGGTCTGAGGTTAAAATTAGAATTAAATGTCACTGGAAGATTTTAACTCCTTTCCACATGACTGTTGCCAAATTCCACTTTCATTGTTCAGAATCATTTTGTCTGCAGAGAAAGGATGTGAAAACAGCCAATGTCTGAGAATCAGATAAACTCAAAGTCACATCAAGTATCTTTTGGCATGTACCTTTGATAGGAGCTCAGTAAAACAGCTCTTAGAGCAAAATTCCCTAAGAATCTCAAGTAGGAGAGCCTCCACTAAAAAGATGGAAGAAAAAAGTAATGGAAAAGATTGAAATGTGAGAAAATAATCATGGTTGTACATTAAAATTTAGGTACAAGGACGTCCCCATAAGACTTTCATAAGAGCAAAACATTGGCAAGGACCTATATATCCAACATTTTAAGATATATTAAACAAATTATGATAGTTCCTTATAATGGAATATTATTTCCAATCTAAAAAGAATCTTACAAAAGAATATTTAAAGAAACAGGCAAAAGTCTGTAGTATAAAGTTGATAGAAAAGTGAGTAAGGCAGATGTGGCTATTTCAGTATCCACTTTTTCCTTCCTCTATGTAATTAAATCCCCAATTTTTGTCTAGGTACTTGGCTGTCCCAAATAAAGACTACATTTCCCAGGCCCGATTTTTACAACTAGGTGCAACATGTGACTAAGTTCTGGTTGGGGACTTAAGCAGAAGTGGGATGTGTAACTTTGTGGAGGCCTGCCCTGTTCCTTCCCTTTTATCTTTCTTGCTTGTTAGGTGTGAATGTGATGCCTGAAACAGTTGTCCTGGACAACAATCCTGGGAATATAGGCCTCAAACAGCAAAAAATAACATAGAAAGAGACAGAGTCCCTGACACTAGAGTATCACATCAGATCAGTCTGCCTACTTCTGGTCTTATTTGGGAAATAAAAAATAATAATTGTATCCTGTTTCAATCACTGTTATTTTTTTTCTGTTGGTCATGCCTAAGCATAACTGTAACTGGTACAGCAATGTTTTTCAACCTTTTTCATCTCACAGCACACTTGAACATATAAACTTCTGTGGCACACTTAAAGAATTATGCTCAAAAAAAAAAAGAATATACTTACTACACTATTCTTTCAAAATAATTTGAAAGAAGTTCGAAGTGTAGTAAATATATTCTTTGATATAATTATATAAAATATACATAATTTGATCTTTAAAAATTTTCATGGCACACCAGATGAAAATCACTCTAGTACAGGTTACCCAACTGTATATGCTTTTATTGTCCAATATTACAGTCACTCAACACATGTGGCTATTAAAATTAAAATGAATTAAAACCAGATTACATTTAAATTTCAATTTCTCCATGTGGCTGATGGCTGCCCTATTGGACAGTGCAGACAGAGAATACTTCCATCACCACAGAAAGCTCTATTGGACAGTACTGCTATGTATAATACGATGTGATGTAATTTTTAAAACTCTTCATCTGTATAAATGAGTGAAATGAGGGGAGAGAGAGACACACACACACTAAAAGTTAGGGAAAATAAATGCTGATGAATTGTTTTACTTGAAAACAGGATTCTAGGTGATTTTATTTTTCTTCTAGAAGGCTACCCATGCTATTACAGTATTTTATAATATATATTACTATTTTACATTTTTATTGAGATATGACTTACACATTATAAAACTGATTCACTATAAGTATATTATTCAATAATTTTTAATAAATTTGTATATTATTAATTTTTAATAAATTTAAGTGTATTATTCAATGATTTTTAATAAATTTATGAAGTTGTGTGACCATCACCAAATCCAGTTTTAAAACATTCCCACAACTCCTAAAAGTTCCTTTATTTAAATCCAGTGAATCCTCACTCTAGTACCAGCCCTATGTAATCATTTATATAATTTTATGATAAGAAAATCATTTTTTAAATACATACCAGTTTTATCAAGTTCCACTTGTTCAGCATGAGTAGAAATTTGGGACCATATTTCATTCTGGACCTTTTTCAGAAATTTTTGACTATAATTTCCCAAGTCTGCATAGGAATTCAGCATGGAAATTGCCTGTCCCGGAGGATAAGACACTATTTCTTCTAGCTGGGTATTGTTAGACCCTTGGATGCTAACAGCAAACACAGTTGTATCCTCCAGCCGAAGGTTCAGTGCAGCCTCACGCACCTGATCATCGGATGGTCTATGGGTGACTAGGACTGCGATCTGAGGCACCCCTTGTGTCCTTCTGCTGCCACTTGACTCTGAGAAGCTGTCTCTTCTCATCTGTTCAATGGCAGCGCCAAAATTGGATTTCCCAGCCCGGAGAGAAAGCTTCTGTATTTGCTGCTGAAATTCAGATTGAGTTGTGCTGGATTTTAGAAAAGAAATGGTCTTGGCGCTATCGCTGTAACTCATCAGTCCAAGCCGTGTGCAGTTGTCCTTCACATCCATGGAGCTGGTGACAGTCTGCAGGAAGCTCTGGAGGTTTCTTAAATTTTGTCTGGTCTCAAGTGCCTCATCCACCAGGAACACAAGGTCAACAAGTGAATCTTTCTGACAGGTTATGGGGAAGGGAGCTATGAAGAGAAAAAAATTATGAGGATTAGTATAAATCACTGGCTCAGGGTTAGAAAGGCACTTTAGAGATTGTGAACATGCATTAGTGAAAACAGAGGCAGTCATCACAGATGTATTCAGCATTGTTTTCTTTGAATAAAAAAAAGATCAAAATTCTGAACAAGATTTACAAGATCATTGACTTCAGAAGCTTTTCATATGCCACTCCCTCCATCTGAAGAATGCTTGCCTATTTTCCTACCACATCCCTCTACCACCAAGAACAGCCAGAGGTAGGAACAAGTAAGAAGCTTAGAGTAGTTGGAGCCTAAGAGTGAGTGGAAACAATGGTGGCTGAAGTCAGGAGGCAGAACCCAGGTCACCTGGGAGTCACATGATCTAATTTAAATCTTTTAAATATCACTCCAGTTGCTAAGGGGAAATAATGAATTTAGAGATAACAACTAAGAAACAGTTACCCTAGTCCAGGAAAGAGATAGATTATTGGACAAGTATTATAGGAGCTAAAATTGAACAATAGAGTAGTTTTGATGCATGATTTAGAGATAGAACAAAAAACTTGATGAATTTGATGCAAATGTTGAGAGCAAAAAAAGGAAGTGAAAACTCATGATTTTTTGGCCTGAACAACTGAGTGAATGGTGATTGCCTTTTTCTGAGATAGGGAGCATCACTGGAAGAAGAAGTTATAAGGTGGATCAAGAGTTCCATTTTGGACATGGTAAAACTAAGAAGCTATTGGGCTCCCAAGAGACGATGTCAAGTGCGCAGTTGGTTATACAAATCTGGAGTCTAAAGGGCAGTACACCATATACACATAAAATACCTACTCTATAGCAACTATGGAAAGTGTATCCAAGAGATACACTCAATCTTGCTGAAAACTACCCATGAGGATTGTGAGTTCTTAGAAGGCAGAGGCATGTCTTATTCATCTGTATCCCTTCAATACCTGGTAGGAACCAAAAATACTTGTGGAATTAAATATAATTACCATATATCTACCAATATACACTGAATCCCATACAGTTGGCTAAAACAGACTCCCAGCATGACCTGTTTAGGTTAGTATTTATTCACAGTCATTCACTATTAATAATAAATTGTGTGCCGAATGCCATGTAAGTCACCTCACTCATAAGGTAAGCACTATTATCCCCAATTTATAGGTAAGAAAACTGAATCTCACAGTCAAGTAACTTACTCAAGGTCCTACATGGTCAAGCCAAACCTCCCTGACTCCAAAGCTCTCGCTCTTAACTTCCAAAAGCCCAGAACAGGCTCCTCCCAGCATTACCTCATACCACTGCTACAAGTAAGTTAGAGAAAGTGAGACAAGCATGATCAACATAAAGCCCCCTAAGAAGGCATTAAAGCCCTTATGTTCTAGAGAACTTAAGCTAAGCAGCCACCTAGAAGACCAGAAGATCTCCAAGATCCTGAAAGTGAAGGGCCACAGGATGTTTCTTCTCCTTAGCAGCACATATGTCCTAAGAACTTGCTATGGCATCTGCATTTCCATATATCTACAAATCTACTCTTAATCCCATATATTTGGTTAAAAAAATTCCCAGTATGACCTGTTCAGGTTAGTGTTGCCCCTGAGGAACGGTGGCGGGGGGGGGGGGGCTTTCTCTTCATTCTCCCCACCTGGAGGAGCAGTGAACGGTGGGGAGAATGAGGAGAAAGCTCCCGCTGCTAGTTCCTCAGGGGCAACACTAACTGTAGCTGAGCCTTGTAGATGCTTGCTAAACTCCACTCCGTGATTCCCTCTCCTTGGTCATAGAGCTGGACCTGACCTCCCAGCTGCCCTTGCAGTTAGGTATGACCATGCAACTAACATCTGACCAGTGAAATGTGAGCAAATATAGTTTCTCTTCCAGGATCAGCCCATAAAACCCTCATGCAAGTCCTCTTTCACCGTTTTTCCCTTCTATCAGTCATCTGTATGCCAATTCCTAGGGCACCTTGCAAGTCATATTTGAAGATGGTAGAGTCATAGAGTCATCACCAGCCTAGATACTTAAACAGAGGAAAGACAACTGATTACCCTAAGCACTGGCCCTATAATGTTATAAGGCAAATACACTACTTATTATTTAGGAAAACTGTTTATTTAAAGCCTAGCCTGGTCTGACTTAAAAAAAAAAATGGTCCATAGCTCTAGCCATAGAATTAGAAAGGGTAGAGTAAGAAGGAAATTTCAAGATCATCCTAATTCACAGTTCTTACAAATGAATATGCCAGGGCAAGAACCAGAGATAGAACATCATTTCTCTAAGGCAGGGACTTCCTCAAACTTTTTAAACAGGGGGCAAGTTCACTGTCCCTCAGACCATTGGAGGGCTGGACTGTGGACCCCAGGACGTGTTGGGTGCTAAGCAGGACAGGCAGCGGTGGCAAAAACACCCAGTGGGCCAGATAAATGTCCTTGGCGGGCCACATGTGGCCCACAGGCCATAGTTTGAGGACGCCTGCTCTAAGACCATAAAGCCAACTAGTGGCTTCTTTTGAGCTTGGGTTCAGGCTACTTTGTGCCTAACCATGTGGTTTCCTGGGTCATAGTAGTAGAGAGCACCTATTAGAATGTCCCACCATCACCAACTGATTACAGAAGCAGCCAGGAATATCCATCATGCTGGAAATCCTTTCTACCTTCCTCCAGTGATAATAGCTGGATCTACCATCAGCACATTAATGATCACTTAGAACTCAACTAAGATACAAATAAAGCATTTTTTAAATGAGAAGTTGTGAGTTAATGGGGCATAGTTAGTCCTTCTTTTGACCCAGGGGATCAAGAGTGAAAACTAATGAGAAAAAGGTCCTTTGCATTTCTTCCTGAACTACTAGTCCCTAGTTCCCAGGGACTGAAGGAAAGGCCAATTTGGCACCTGCTGGGTACTGGGTTAAGGACAATAGAACTGGCTTTCTGGCCTGGGAATCAGAATTCTCCCAAAGGAAATCAGCTGCAACAGCTGGGTTAAGTGCTGCTTTTGAGTAGCTTTGCACACAACAGACATCAACATGGATGATGGCACCTTGGAATAAGGATTTATACAGCCACATGAGACATTCTTGAGAGTTATCCGAAAATTAGAGAGAATTTCATGCTAAAGGTGTGATAGCTAAGGTCTTAAGTTATACAAGTGAAAGTGCTGAGTCAGTTTAGTTTTAGCTGCCTCTAACTGATATCATTCATACTCATAAGCTCGTCAGAAATACTTTCAATAGTTCTTCATTTCAAAGATCAACTTTACTGGGAGATACACTATTATTTAATGGCAGGTCTTCAGGAAAAAAAAAATGTGTAAGCAGTACTAAAAGACATATCCTAACATCAAAAATTTTTAAATGGGGGTTATGTCCCCGATGTAAAAAATATTAGCATAAAATGATGGCACAGCTGGGAGAGATAATGAGTCAAACTTCTGGCTTTAGTAGATCCTGATATTCACTAGAGTGATTTTATCTCAGAAGGGAAAGAAATGGCTCAGGATGGCATGAGCCAACACAGTACATGTGGGTCTCACGCCTCCAGTGCACAGCACTGTGCTACTGTACAGATGAGGGCATCCCCTCTTCTGCCTGACTGAACACAAAACATGATCATGGGCTAATGGTGTCTCATTATAAGTCTATTCTTCCCACTGAGTGTTGTTATATATCAGTTGACAGGCATTTATTTAATATTTATTGTGTGTCCGAAACCATACCAGGACTGTCAAGAAAAGAGAACACACAGGATCTTATTTTTTATCTATAAGACCCTCATGTATTCAACCATTAAGAAATAGGACAGTTGGGTGGTGCCTTTGGCTCAGTGAGTAGGACACCAGCCCCATATACCGAGGGTGGCAGGTTCCAACCCTGCCCTGGCCAAACTGCAACAAATAAATACCCAGTGTTGTGGCGGGCACCTGTAGTCCCAGCTACTCAGGAGGCTGAGGCAAGAGAATCACCTGAACACAGGAGTTGGAGGTTGCTGTGAGCTGTGATGCCACAGAACTCTATCAAGGGTGATAAAGTGAGACTCTGTCTCAACAACAACAAAAAACTGAATGGGAGTTGTAAGGAGGTGAGGATGGGCAGATGTAGATCGGCATAGGGATCAGGTGCCTCTTCAATCATAGGCTTCCTCACCTTGTATATCAACATCAACCACTGCTTCCTTGTGCTTTGTCACATCCTTGATAATCTGCGTCATGTTTCGGGAAAACATGCTGAGGTCTCTGGCTGTCCGAAGGTTGAAATGAAACTGGGACGTGGCCATGGCCTTCAGGTTTTCCTCTGATGCTTTCTGCATCCCCACGGAGATGATTTTCACTCCATCTTTCTGCAGGGCCTTTGAAGCCTCTTCCACGTCATCCTCAGACTTGGCCGAAGCCAGGACCACCAAAATAGGAGGAAACTGCTTCTTGTCTCTCCCATTTGTGGGCGCAGAGAAGTAAGTCCTGTGAGCCTCCTGGAGAGCATTTCCGATCTTCAGGGACCCGCCAATGAACTCAAAGTTCTTCTTGAGGTGGTTCAGCATGGGGCTCCTGCTCTTGAAGGTGCTCAGCTGGAATTCACTGTGGAGCTTGTCGCTGTACTGGGCCAAGGCCACCCGGTATTTGTCAGTCTCAATGGGGAGACTGTTGAGCATTTTGTTGAGAAACGTTTTCACAAACGGGAAGGACTTACTTCCCAGGTGATCAGAGCTGTCTACCAGAAACACCACATCTGCATACTCAGGGCCTGGCTCTATCAAAAGAAAGTGACAACAAACAAAAGCAAGGTGATTGTTCAGCCTTCTCATTTTATACCACAGAACTCAGTTAAGACTACATCCTAGTATGAAGGGTATATCAGAATCCCAAGGAAAATGTCTTTTGGAGGTCAAACTGAAGAAACTGTAATTACTTTAACTAAAACAATCAAACTGAAGGACTTTGCTAAAGTTAGCCAACAGATTTTTCTTCCTTAACTCTCTATCTCTAGAATCAACCAACATCATTTTTCTTTTTTAGTTCTGGAATCCCAAACGCTGATATTGTAACTAGGGAATAAATAACATGAAATATCCAGAAAGTCCCAAGGTGGTCTATGGACACAAATTTTTGGACATAGTATAGAGAAACCAGCTGTCTAGGTTGAAGAGATTAGAAGTATAGTCTAAGACCAGGATTTCCGTTGCATGGGCTCAATGAAGAGAGAAGTGGGATAGGACAGGGCAAGTTGCAGAGAACAGTGTGCCAGGAAAAGTCCAGTGTCAGCCTACTCTACAGAGAGCTCTGGAGCATAAATTATAGCAAAGCTGTCCCTATAAGGCAAGAAGGTCAGTATTTTGTGGGCCACTATTAGTAAGTCACTGAATGCAGAACATCCCCAGAAACTGGAGGTAAGGAGCAAAGTGCTATAGACATAACCTCTTGGGTAAAGCAGCTCTTGAAAAGCCCAGAAACATTATCTCAAGATACTAAGGCACATCTATGAGCTGGTGCAGGCAATATTGACTCTAGTAGGGGAGGGTACACCAGGTGATAGGGAGCATATGGCAAGGGGAGGCACCAACAGCATGATCTTCAGCAGTCACAGCCAGCCACCTTCACTTGTAAAATTAGTCTGGTAAATATCTTACAACTGGCTTTTTCCTTCAGAGTAACTCAGAAATTCATCAGGAAATCATAGGGTAGGACAGTGCATAGCTAAGAATATTTCTTTGAACTACATGTTTAGAAATTATAAGAGAGTAGAAAACCTAGCTTTCATGCTATATACACACAAATATACATGTGTGCACATAGGCTTATTGCCATATAATGATGTTTTGGTCACTGACAGATTGCATATGTGACAGTGGTCCCATAAGATCATAAGGGAGCTGAAAATGTTCTATTGTCTAGTGGTATTGCCATTTCTTGATTATATATGTTTAAATAGACAAATGTTTACCATTGTGTTATACTACCTACATATTCAGTACAATAACATACTGTACAAGTGAAATAGGCTAATTGATATAGCCTAGGGTGTATGAGTAGCCTCAGCATAGTAGACTATACCATTTAGGTTTGTGCAAGTATACTTTATGATGAGTATATTTGGGATATTTGCCTAATAATGCATTCCTTACAACATATACCTATCATTATGTGACTCATGACTGTGTATGTAGAGACATATCTATATCTGCATATATATGTACACATATACATATATACACACACATACATATTTATTCATTCTTGTAAGGAAAAAGGGCAGGCAATCAGAAGGAAGATAATGGCTTAACCACAAAAATACTTCAAATTTGTTTTCTGTGTAGGGTTCTTTTCTTCAACTTACTAAGACTTAGATTAAAATTGGCCTATAAACAAATGGATGGACTCTATTCATAGAGACATGGAACACTGAGACTGAAGCATATCAAAGAATAAACTTTGATCATATTTTATTATTTTATACTTAGCTATATAAACTTTATATATAATATAACTCATGAAGTTTGCCTATAACTTCGTGCTGTCTTTCAGTCTAAGTTTGATATTGCATATCTACAACTATCGCTAAATGTTGTGTACTTTGATATTTTAGTGAATAAAGTCTTTATTTCTCTTTGTTTATTAAAGTTTGCTGAGACATAAGAACAATTTAATTTCTTAAGTAATAATAAACATAATATATACTGTTACCTGGGCTCTGATCTGCCAATGTTTCAGTCCCAAGGATTAGAACAAATATCATTAGGTGGGTCTTCATTTTGTGATGACTTCTCACTTTTATTCTGCAAGAAAAATATTTTTTACACTATAAAAAAATCTTATTCTATACCAGAAAGTAATTGCTGGTATAGTTGTATAGAGCACAACACACTGTACATAAGTATTTGTCAAACAGTGCTAACTGTTTACAATACTCACAAAGCACTTGGAGTATCTGTTTCTTTTTTTTCTTTTTTTATTGTTGGGGATTCAGTGAGGGTACAAAGAACCAGTTTACATGGATAGCTTGTGTCAGATAAAGAGACCCTCCCACAATAGTGTTCCACCCCCAAAAGGTGTACCACCCTCTGTAACCCCCACCCCCGCCTTCCTTTCCCCACCCCCTCCCTCCTTTCCTTTCTCCACTCGCTCCATCCCCCACTCCCCACTGTGTGCTAGGTCATTATGTTCTCATATCAGAATTAAGTACATAGGATTTTTGTTTCTCCATTTTTGTGATGCTTTGCTAAGAATAACATGTTCCACTTCTATCCAGCTTAATACAAAAAAAGTCTCCGTCTTTTTTAGTGGCTTCCATGGTATACATATACCACAGTTTATTAATCCATTCTTGGGTTGGTGGGCATTTAGGCTGTTTCTACTTTTTAGCAATTGTAAACTGAGCTGTGCAAGTCTAGTGCAAGTGTCCTATGTTAAAAGGATTTTTTTTTCCCATGTGGGTAGATGCCCTGATCATATTTCAAACATCTTTCTCAGTATTTTATAAATGTCATCTTATTTAATCCTCATGACAATTTTAGGCAGAGGTACAATATTTATTAAGCTATGTGACAGAAAAAGAAACTGAGATAAGTGGCATGGTAACAGGTGGATCAAGTATACTACTCTAGACAGTGTGAGTGCCACACCCAAGTTCACCACTATATCCCAAGCCGTATACAAAATCTGTGTCTTCACAAAAGTAACAGTCTCTATTATTTACCCTCAATTGTTATGCCAATAACGATGGTTGTATGTGTTTGTAACTTAGCTGAAAAAAGTCAACAGCATAAGAAAGCAGAGCAAGATGGCCTCATAGAAACCTCCAATGAACATCCCTATACACAAAAACCTAAGTCAACAACTATCCATGTGAGCATCTTCAGGAGAACCAAAAATCAAGTAAGTGATCACACTACCTGCTTTTAACATTGCATCAAGGAAAGAGGCACTGAGTGGGCAGAAAAGAAATCTTCACATTGGCTATGCCACCCCTCCCTCATTCCTCAGCACCAGTACTGAGCAGAAGGAGAATCTAAGTTGCTGGGGGAGGAGAGTGAAGTGATTATGGGATTTTACACTGAAACTCAGGGCTGCCTTGATACAGGGGTACATAGTACAGGGCAGAATTCTGCCGGTGCCTACAAAGGGAGCATTTTGACCAGTGAAATTCATCCCAGGGAAAAATTAACATCATTAAAATTCCAATGCTACCCAAATCAATCTATAAATTCAATGCAATACACATCAAAATACCAATGACATTGTTCACAGAAACAGAAAAAAAAATCCTAAAATTTATATGAACTCATAAAAGACCCAGAATACTCAAAGCCATCATGGAAAAGGACAAAACTAGAAGAAGCACATTACCTGACTTCAAATTATACTACAGAGCTGTAGTAACCAAAAACAGCATGGCACTTGGCATAAAAACAGATACAGAATACAGCAGCAGCATCTCAGGATCAAAATCAAAACCCACAAATCAGTAGCTTTTATATATGCCAATAACAATCAAGCTGAGAATAAAATCAAAGACTCTATACCTTTTACAGTAGATCCAAAGGAGATGAAATACCCAGGGATTTATCTAATAAAATATGTGAAAGATCTCTATAAAGAGAACTATAAAACCCTAAGAAAAGAAATAGCAGAAGACATTAACAAATGGAAAAACATACAATGCTTGTGGCCGGGCAGAATTAACATCATTAAAATGTATAAAGCCAGGGGTATCATGCTACCAGACTTTAGGATATACTACAAGGCCATAGTGATCAAAACAGTATGGTATTGGCACAAAAATAGAGACATTGACATTTGGAACTGAATAGAAAACCATGAGATAAAACTAACATCTGACAACCACCTGATCTTTGATAAACTAAAAAATAACATACAATGTGGAAAAGAATACCTATTCAATAAATGGTGCTGGAAAAACTGGATAACCATATGTAAAGACTAAAACTGGACTCGTACCTCTCACCACTTACAAAAATTGATTCAAGATGGATAAAAGACTTAAATCTAAGGCATGAAACAATAAAAATCCTCAAAGAAAGCATAGGAAAAACACTGAAAGATATCGGCCTGGGGAAAGACTTTATGAAGAAGACTTACATGGCAATTGCAACAACAAAAATAAACAAAAAGGACTTAATTAAACTGAAAAGCTTCTATATAGCTAAGGAAACAACAACCAAAGCAAACAGACAACCTACAGAATGGAAAAGATATTGCATATATTTATCTGAATCAGACAAAAGTTTGATAACTAGGATTTATAGAGAATCAAATTAATTAACAAAAAAAGACCCAACAATCCCATACATTACTGGGCAAGAGAATGAATAAAATCTTTTCTAAAGAAGATAAACAAATGGCTAACAAACATGAAAAAATTCTCATTGTCCCTAATTATGAGAGAAATGCAAATCAAAACTACCCTGAGAAATCCCTAACCCCAGAGAGAATGGCCCACATCACAAATACTCAAAGTTTAGATGCTGGCATGAATGTGGAGAGAAAGGAACACTTTCACACTGCTGGTAAGACTGCAAACTAATACAACCTTTTTGCAAGGAAGTATGGAGAATCCTCAAATAACTCACATTATACCTCCCAGTTGATCCTGCAATTCTGTTACTGGGCATCTATCCAGAAGAAAAGAAATCCTTTTAACATAAGGACATTTGCACTTGACTATTTATCACCGCTCAAATTACAATCGCCAAAATGTAGAAATAGCCTAAATGCCCACCAACCCAGAAATGGATTAATAAGCTATGGTATATGTATGGTATACTATTAAGCCACTAAAAATGATGGAGACTTTACATCTTTTTGTATTAACCTGGAAGAAGGTAGAACACATTCTTCTTAGTAAAGCATCACAACAATGGAGAAGAAAAAATGTAATGTACTATATTTTAACATGAAGGCAGCAGATGAGCTAATACAAGGGAGGTGGGGGCAGGGGAATGACTAGTGGGAAGAGGGGAGAAGGAAGCTGGATGGAGGATTTCAGTGTATGGCACACCTCTTGGGGGTGGGACACAATAATAGGAGGAAGTTTATCTAACAAGTGCAATCAGTATAACCTAATTCTTTGTACCATCAATGAATCCCAAACAATTTAAAAAGGGAAAACATTCTACCCAAAACAATGTACAGATTTAATGCAATCCCCATCAAAGCACCAATGTTATATTGTGAAGAACTTGAAAAAATAGGACTTTGCTTCATATGGAACCAGAAAAAAAAACCCAGATAGTGGATACAATTCTTACAAATAAAAAGAAATCTAGAAGCATCACATTACCAGGCTATACTACAAGTCTATAGTAATCAAAACAGCATGGTACTTGCACAAAAATAGAGATATAGACCTATGTAAAAGAATAGAGAATCTAGAGATGAGCCCAGCCACATATCACTATTTGATCTTTGATAAACCAAACAAAATCATGCCTTTGAGGGAAAAAATCCCTATTGATTCTCATCGGATAAAAGATTTAAATTTAAGACACAAAATAATAAAAACTCTAGAATAGAGCATGGGGAAAATCCTTAACAATAATTGGTCTGAGAACAGACTTTATGAGGAAGACCTGCCCTGGCAATTGGAACAACACCAAAATACCTGGGATTTAATCAAGCCAAAAAGCTTCTGCACACCAAAGGGTATCACAACCAAAGCAAACAGACAGCCTTTGGGATGGGAGGAGATTTCTACATGTTACAAATCTGACAAAGGCCTAATAAGTAGAATCTACAGAGAACTCAAATTAATCAACAAGAAAAGAGAAAAAAATCCCATTTATAACTTGACAAGAGACTTGAACAGAAACTTCTCTGAACATGATAGATGAATGGCCAACAAACACATGAAAATGTGCTCATCATCATTAATCATCAAAGAAATGAAAATCTAATACATTACCTAACTCCTGCAAGATTGCCCATATCACAAAGTCCCAAAACTGCAGATAATTGTGTGGATGTGGAGAGAAGGGAACACTTCTACACTGCTGGTGGGATGGCAAACTAATAGCGCCTTTTTGGAAAGAAATATAGATAATTCTTGAAGAACTAAAAGTCAGCGCGGCACCTGTGGCTCAAGTGGCTAAGGCGCCAGGCACATACACCTAAGGTGACGGGTTTGAATCCAGCAAGAACCTGCCAAAACAACAATGATGGCTGCAACCAAAAAATAGCTGAGCGTTGTGGTGGGCGCCTGTGGTCCCAGCTACTTGGGAGGCTGAGACAGGAGACTCGCTTGAGCCCAGGAGTTAGAGGTTGCTGTGAGCAGTGAAGCCATAACACTCTACCCAGGGGGGTAGCTTAAGGCTCTGTCTCAAAAAAAAAAAAAAAAGAACTAAAAGTCAACCTTCCATTTGATCCCACAATTCTATTACTAGGTATCTACCCAGAAGAACAAAAATAATTTTACCATAAAGACATCTGCAGAATGTTTGCAAAAAAAAAAAAAAAGAAAGAAAAAAAATTTATTGAAGCTCAATTCATAATTGCCAAGTCATGGAAACAACCTAAATGTCCATCATCCCTTGAATGGATCAACAAACTCTAGCATATATGTATCATGGAATACTACTATGTAGCCATAAGAAAAGTTGAAGACTTTATATCTTTTATATTTACCTGGATGGAGTGGAAACACATTCTTCTTAGTAAGTATCTCAAGAATGGAAAAAAAATATCCAATGTACTCAATACTAACATGAAACCAGTATATAAACAATTGTACATCCA